GGGTCTATTAACTGATTGTTTGCTCTTTAGCTCAGTTGACAGATCACTCGCCTAGTGTGGTGAGGTATCAAGAGTAAAAAGAAGTAAAATTATGCATTAATACTGTAATTCATTCCATTTTCACAATATAGGTACAACTTTTTACTTAGATTTGAACCAGGGACATCTTACACGACAGACAAATGTCTTACCAGATGAGCTAAAGGGTTAACCGTATGTGGTTACTGGTAAGTTACTTTTTTAACAACCTAAACTACACAAACATCTCGTTATTCATCATTTTACTTTTACTTTTTTATTGAATAAAAAACTTCCATTCACTCCACTTAAAGCTCTTACTTTGTGAAAACAGCTCTTGCTTTTGTTTTGGAGCCTTTTATCTTTACACTATATGTAAAAATATCTTTTTAAAAGTGCACATAATAGAGTGGATATTCCAACTCACTCAATGAACATATTCGGTATTCTTCAGTCTTTCGGTATATTACTAAAAGAACAAAAAAGTGACTTATATTATAATGCGACCAAACTTGGCAAATATACTCAGGATGTTCCATGTGTGCGTGTGACCTTACCTAAATAGCGTAGATATAAGATATCTACCTTACCTACTATATTCCATTACATTTTGTAAACTATGCTTCCATTGTATAGGTTTTTGATAATCTAATTAATAATAATTTGGTATTAAAAATCCATATATATGTAGGAAGAACAACAACAACGTATTTACCAGAATACACAGTGAGCTCAAAATAAAACTTTGGTTATGTAACTCTGTATAAAGCATTTATACTTAACTGTTTTATTATGATAAAAGCAACCAGGAAATTTGATTTTAATGAATTAGAATGTCTTTATGAATGTTCTTTAAAAATGTTGTTTTGATTTGTTTTCATACAATACCAAGAATTGTGCTTTTAATGTTTGAAGCTTTGATGAACTGATGATTATTCACATTAAATGGAAAACTAGTTTCAACATGGAAATATTCTGTAAAATGACTGAGCTCTAAAGGTTTAATTTTCACGTTAATATTCTCCCTGTATCATGTATCATAACTTCTTATTCTTTTGTTAAAAGTCACATCGTGTAAGATGATATCATAATCTTTTTCGGTAAAAGTGACATCGGGTAAAATGATATCCTATTATTTTGTTAAAAGTGACATCATGTAATGTGATATCTTATTTTTTCAGTAAAAGTGGCATTACGTATTCAGTTATTAATCACACATGTAAGAGCTTAATAATAACTCAGAAATAAGAACGTATGCAAAACGGAATTTAATTGAGTGAATTTATTTAGTCCGGTCTGTACGGGCATTCTTTGTATCAGATGTCGATTTCTGGCAAATGTCGACGTGACATAGGAGCTCGTATAACCAACTAAACAAAAACAGGAACATGTGAGATAGTGATATTCATCTGTTTTATAAGATGTTTGAAAAAACACTGGTGGATTACTAAATACAATTAATTTAAAATCACAACATAATGATTTCGTATATGACTAAAGTATATATTTGGTTTCTATGTCATTTCCTGTAGCATATCAATGTATGTATATACAGTTTTTTATCAGGCTTAACTTATGTATAATATATACAACCACCTCTCACTTGAACATCTGGTTAGACTCGTAGACTTGATTTTAAAAGTCCAAGTTTCCTTCCACTGATATAACAAACTACGTATGTACAAAGTAAAAAGTGAAAATATTGTAACGTTTCATAGTCTCGAGCAGTGCATAACTTTAAACACATTTATCAAACTCGAAGGTTAAAATACTGTGGACGTTTGAGTAACGCCCAAAGGTGCGGCTATCACCTTAAATGCCTTTCTTCTCTTCTATAACGCTAAAAACTAGGTTTAGATATCTTAGATGGACATAGCACAGATAGCCGATTTTGTAGCTTTTTTGATTAACACTCAAACAAACTTATATGTACAACACATGTGTTTTATTGTAGTTTTTATTGCTTTACTCTCAATAACTTATTCACATATTAAAACTCCAGCTTTTTTCTTATTATTTGATTTCTACACAGCATTCAGCGAGAAGTATTGAACGGTACTTATACAACGGCTTATGAGTTTGAACATTAACTTGAAACACTAAACAGAAGTTCACTGTGTGGCTTGTTCAGACTACAGACTTGGGTTAAACACTGTACTGAGTGCACTTATCAAACTAGTTTAAGATGCAGCTTCTTAAGAGATATCTTGGATGTGTTCATTGTGTCACAGTGAGGATATACAGAGATATAGATTTATTCAGGGGACAAATGACAAGTGTAAAAGTTGGCGTTAATCGATTTATTCTGTAAGACGCCAAGTTAGATTCACTTCTCTTATTTATAAGCTGGATAAAATCATTTAAAGCACAGCAAATAAAAAAGCAACAAAGAAATTAAATTAACAGATGTGCTAGGCTGAATATGGAGTTAATTTACATTTTTCTCATTACGTGTTGATAACAAATTTTGGCCCATAATGAATTCAAAAATCTACTAAATACTTATAAATGTGTGACTAAAATATTTAGTGACTAGAGATTAGGATGTCTGCTTTGAACTAAACCGGTATGTTTAAACGGCTTATTTTAAGTCAATTCCTTTTTCACTGTTTCACTGAAACAAACAAAAAACTTTACACAGTGGGAGAGGGCGAAATTTATAATGTCATTTATTTTTATATACCTTTGAACTCACAAAGTGGATAATAAACAGCCTGAAGTAATGGGAGTTATTAGTTTAGTGTGAAACTATTAGTTTTCGAAACTTCATGAGGAACAACCTACGTTATCGTACATTTGAAGTCAGGAAAGGCTAAAGTATAGCATAATATTTAGCAAGTAAGTGACAACCAAGTATGATAATGATTAGTAAACATCAATAAAATAGTTTTCACGCAATATTTTGGGTTATCCAATGTGTACATATATCAAGCAAAATATCACGTTATATGTGTTATATTATAATTGTCGGAAATATTATAATTATATTTTCGCGATAAACATACACTCAAGAGATAAACTAATAAATTACTGAATATAAAATAAAGCGTAATAATCAATATCAGGTTTGGTTATGCAGAAATTTATGAATATATTCTCATATTAATACAAACAGATCTATTGGGAAAAGTCAGAGGAATACAACCAGATTTATGTAAGAAAAAATCTCCTCTCACTAAAATTAAAGATCTCACGTCTTGTAAAACTGAACTAAGCCTTAAATATTATAATACGAATTATTATCAATATTATGTGGATGAAACAAAACAGAGCAAAAGCAAAGAAAAATTCATAATTAATCTAGTCTAAGCATTCAAAACTTTGTGATTAAGATTTATAAGAGAATTAAGCAGTTACATTAGAACATTTTAATATGCAATTTAACAAGTCATATGGCAAATCACGGCCGATTTAAAGTCGCGGTGGAACAGAATGTATCAGAACTACATTTTAACATTATTTGTTGTTTCTTAAGAAGTGTGATTCCATCAAAAAGTGGTTGTTTTTTAAAGGGAATGTAAGAGTCCATTCCGACATAAAATATTCCTACGCTCAGGTAATAAATATTGTGGATTTAGATTTTCTTAGACGGAGATATCTCCTGTACTTAATGGCATTTGAAGACAAAGGAGTCTGGATCAACTTGGTGTGCCAAAACCATCCAGAAAGAGATCTGCAACAGGTCCTACCCTAGTCATAGTTAGCAAAAGGTAGCGTCTTGAAACAGGTAAGAATCCACGAATACAAAAGTCAGTGAAAAACTACGTTCATCTCCCTTGCAACAATATACAACATAATAAAAAGTGTATCTATCTGAAAACGAGTTCAACAGGACACGAGTTCACCAAAATATAGCTTCCAGTCATACTCCCCTGTATAAATGTGGTATATCTTAAGGAACTGGAGAATGAAACCGGTATTCAGTTAAATCGCCAGACGCAGCGCCTATAGATTTCTTTGTTAATGTACTATTGATATAGGCACTGAGAAAACATCGTCCTCCAAATCTAGACGGATTATAGAAAGCAGACAGAGAAGAGTCGTAGGCTTTGATTATGATACGCCTTACGACAGAACCTTTCGTACTGTAATGATGTGGTGAAGCTCAAAAAAGCGTTTTAATATAACGTACCCAACATATGTATAAAACTATTTCGTACAATATAATTGCTGTGATACAATTTCAAGTGGAAGTTTTCAAAATTGATGGAAATTAGCGATCAAAGGTCATTTGCAATATCAGTAGAAATTTTTCCAAAAGTACATGTTATCAAGGTAGTTTCTGTCATTTACTTTTTATTATCTATATAATACATAACCTTAAAACAGGAGATTATTGCAGCTTTTAAGTTTCTTTAGATTGTTACATAACTTATATTTTTATTGCCTTTGGGTGTCTCCAGTTTCTACGTTATAATCTCAGTACTCATTCCACTTGTATGTAATTAATAACTCCTCTCTTCTAGAAAATAAAGAATTTCACCCATCTGTAAAAATTGTAAATAATTTTAAATACTGTGAGTGTATTTTACATGTATTATAACAGTATATGTAAACGCAGTCTTGCAAATCTTAAACTTCTCCAATGTAATTACTGTGTTTATAACCTAATAGTCATTGTTCCCAATAGATCTGTTCTATAAAAATATTTTTCACTGTTTCCATATGAACATGACACTGGTTGAGTATTGTTAAGCATAAAGCTGCCAAATGAGTTGTTTGTGCTCTGTCCACCGCGGGTATCGTAACCAGATTTTTAGCGTTATAAGCTTATACGGTCTGAAATATCCAGAAAAGTCCTTTTCTTCACTAAGGTTATTTGATAGTGTGTTCCTGACAATCGTTCATTACATTCTCAGATACGTCTAATTAATTCTGATTTATATACCTTGTCTGTTTTAAGTAAAAAGAAAAAATGCAGGAATAAAATGTAAAAATTAAAAGTGTTCTGTTTAGGCTGATAATAAAACGTTACGGCATGATGACACAGACAAACCACGTTTATTTTACGATGAAATTACATGTTATTTCGTGGACGGAATTCTCTGTGCTTATATTCCTTTTACGTTTTACGTCTTTAGAATGAAACGTGTATATATATACATAACAAGCATGTTGTGCTGCAATCAAGAGACCGTGCTGTGTACAGATTAAAATCGCTAAGTTCAAAAACTCCAATTAAAAAAGGCCAGATGTGCATTATCATTACACTTAAAACTACAACATTTCCATGTAAGTGCACACGTATGCAAACAAATTCTACTGTACAATTTCACATATTAAAATACCAATAATATTTTAATGAGACGTGTACTATTACACACAAGCCATAAATTTCCCTTCGTCAACCAAGGACGCACACATAATTTTCCACACTTCCAAGTGTACCACGAAGAAAAAGAGAGCTATACCTACATGAAATGCAAACTCCAAGTAACATTGAAAGTATTTTGTTTTACTCAGTATAATATCCAATTGTCCATGGCGCATCTCAACTACACACAAAAACAAAACATCGTAAATGTTACAAACACCAACCATATAATATCTTTCGATAGTTCATACTAACCGGAAGTACCGAACAAACTCAAACAATTAACGCTTCATGCGTTTCAGTATTTCTTAGCTCTGAATAACAGCGAAAATTTTTCAGAATATCCATTTACTGGCCATTAGCCATTCTAGGTCAAAGTTAAATTACTGTGTTTCAATTATTTAAAAAAAAGAGTTAAAATTATGATCATTAAAAAAAAAACTAATTGTTCGATGAATCAGAGTCAGTTGGATTGAAACTTAGTGTTACGTCTTTTACAATATCCATAGTGTACTATCCTCAGATCAGTTTCATCTTGTTCCAAACTTGTTGGAGTCTGAACCATAAAACATGAAATAAAAAACTATATTGTCATGACTGTTGATAGTCCACAGACACTGTTTTCAGTGATTAAATATTCCATTGACAGCTCCACAATTTATATATCGAAAGTAAATTAGAACAGGACAAAACATGACGGAATGTCGCCGTACATTTTAATTACATTATCAGCCACTAGATGGCAGGTAAGTATTTAAGAGATCGTCAATCGTCAGTCTCAAGGTAATCCTAGAATCCGAGGAGGCCCCGCCTCCAACTTGCCGCAGGGAGCTGCACAGTCGCAAGAAGACCAGTTGGTCTCTCCTTGGGACAGTAGTGCTGGGCGGTGAATTGGACTACATGCTTGATTGCTTAATTGGTCTGAAAAAGCAGAGGGCGTGGTACGAGGTGGTTGACTTGATATACACGTATTTGATGAATGATAACCTCGATGTCCGCTGCTGAATGGAGATTGCGATGTGCCCGACGTCAAAGAGGCTGTAGAGGTCGCTTTGGAATCTGTGAGAAAATAATATGGCTGTTTGAAAATACATTTGAAATCTCTGTCTATTTGATCACTTATACTCAATTTTTTTAGGAAAAGATGTAAATATTGTTATCCAAAAATTAGTGACAGCCAACACAAAGATGAAGAGCATAGAAAGTACAAAACACTAGTTGCAAATAGTGGTTGGAGTCTGGTTCAAATACCCACATCACATACCTAATAATTTGATATATTTTTAAATGAAAATTTCGATTGGAGGTAGAAACACATTTTTCAGTTGAATGTAACAAAAACACAAACGAAAAAAAATAAAATGTATATATATTCACATTTTTGCTTGAAAACTACCTTTCCGATTGGAAACAAAATGATTCTTGTAACCAATACAATTTATAAACCAATTTTCAACATAATGTACAGAGAATTTCAAAAAGTGGTTGCTCAAATTAACGAAAAAACAACAACTATTATCTAACTGATTTCAAAGATATAATTTAAATAATTAGACCTTACGAAGTTTTCAATGATGTTTTGTATATGAATATTTAAAACAACGAATTCTAAGCGTGATTTTTTAACATTCTATTTAATATTGATTTCTATAAACAGCCTTGTTAATGTGAACACTGGAAATCTTATTAAGTGAAAACATATTTTGAATAAACCAACTCTTTCATTAAACAAGAACACCAAAAAAAATCTATATTTTTTAGACTTTAGATGTCAGTACATTTTAAAAAATCTTTCGTTATTTTGCATCGGCTGGGGTTAGATTGCTCGACTTGCAACTTGCGGGTCGCAGGTTCGAATCCCGTCCCCCGAACATGCTCGCTTTTTTTAGCCGTGGGGACTTTATAATGTGATGGTCAATCCAACTTTTCCTTGGTAAAATAGTAGCCCAATAACTGACGGTAGGTGGAGTTGACTAGCTGCACAGTCTATTATATCAAAAATAGGAATGGCTACCACAGACATCCCTCGAGTGGCCTTGCACGAATTTCAATAAAACAAACAAACACGATTAATTCACAGTACATAACTAGTGACGATAAGCCATTTTTTTTATTTAATATTATGTTATATTTGTAATAATGTCTAATGATGTACAGATACGTTCAGGCAAGTTTCACATTTACAGAGCCAGCCTTTATTATCTGTATTCAATCTCGGCGTCTTATTTGGGCCGTTTTTGAACCACTGAGTCACGTATCAAGTTCAAACAAGGAATTATAAACACCACAACCTTCACAAGTGATACTCAACCACATACAAATGACAAGATAATTGTCTCTGTGACCAATGAAAAGGTGCTTAACATTTACCTGTACCTTGGAATAAGCGTAGATTTTGTATACAAGGACAGCTTCAGTGTGGTTTTGCTGGGAATAAAGAACCACTTACTATAGTGTATAGATGGTAATTGAGAATGTGAGTCAACTCCAACTTTTTCGTAAAGAATATTGGAATCGTTCCGAAATGTTCTTGCATTAGTAATGAAGTTTAACTTTGATAAGTAATTAGATTAATAACATTAATTCTGAACGTATATACCAACGTTCGCCGCTTATTTAAGGAATGCTAGCATAGCCCTTAAAAACAAAACAAATTTAGGATTATTCTCAATTCCATCTAAGCCCAGTCAGTGAAACAGAAACGATATACTGATCTACTCACCCTAAATTTAACTTAAACCATGATCCTAGGTTTTACTCCCACCTAGACCTAGGTAATACTAAAACTATAACGACCTACTCATCTTAAACATAAGCCGGAATAAGTGCTTAAAATGAACTTATAAACCGTAATTCTCTCTTAAATTAGTTAAAACTGAAGTAATGTATATTGACAATACTAAATGCTGATGAAAGAACGATGAAAAAGATTGGCTATTCGTTGACGGCGTTGAAAACATCTGTTATGGCTACTAGTTAAATTCCATGTTGAATATTTCTCAGAATACTGAGTTAGCGATATTTAATATTATTAAGTATAATATACCTACACATTACGAATATTCACACATACATATTTAAGAACAGTTTGATTTTTAAACTTAGATGTGATTTAAAATAGTAGTGACAAGTTAGTCAAGTCATCGATGAACTACAGTGTTGATAGTAGTAAAACTATTACACCTTTAGAACGTTTTTACAGATTGATACAAGTTAAAAATAAGTAATTATCTCTTTATACAAATTACTAATTTGGCCTCACTTGAAAGATTGTGTACAGGTTTGATCTTCTTATGAAAGAAGGGATATTGACTTATTGGAAAAGGTCAGAAGAGGACTACCAGGGTTATTCTTTGGAATGGAAGAATTATCTTATAGGAATGGGTGAAGATTTCTGACTTTTTCTTGAGAAAAGAAGGATAATAAGTGATCTTAAAGAAGCTTACAAGATTTTTCGGGAGTCCTAGAAAATAAAGACCTTTGATTTCTTTGTACTATATTATTATTATGGAGACAATGATACGAGAAGACATGACTTTAAGATTTAGAAGAGACAGGCTAGACGTAAGACAGTTTTATTTTTGTAACAGGCTGATGGAAAGAGTTGCCGTCGACAGCAGTAACGACCGGTATTTTACCAGAGTTTAAGAAGGAATCGAAGATTTCCTGAAAAATGAAGGGCGAGTTTAAATCTTAAACAGTGTGTTTATAAGGACAACGTTTAAGGACGAAATGTACCCTTGTTATTCGTGTGTTATGTTAACTTTAAATATATACTGCGACTGTTGTCCTAAATATAATAACATTATTACGACTGATTTATCTGGTACTTCAGATTTAAAGTAACTTTAGCGCCGTTGTGATGTTTGATATTTTAACACTGAAAGTTATTTCATGAAAAATAACCAATAAAGAGGTCAGACGTTATATAAAAGTTGACACTCGGTATGAATTAGACTAGAGAAGTCTTCTTTGTACTTGGATAGTAATAGAGCTACCTAAGTTAGTTGTTTAATTTGTTAGAGGGTTAAAATATTGTGTTTCTTAAAATCTAATGGAATACACTACTTAAAGAAAAAATCTGACTGGCCCATGGGATGTAGTTTTCCTGTGCTTGCATGCTAACGAGCAACACATTAGTATTCCATGTTTCTGATATCAGATAACACTGCCTTATAATTTCTAATGCACTTTAGGTAAACAAGGGTGAAAGCATCAATTGTATGTGAAGTACTGCATTTAAATGAAATGGAGCAAAGTCGATAAACAATCTTTCACTTTCTGTGTGAACAAACAGGATGTTTAAAACTCTAAGACACACCTTGGAAGATCAATAAGATATATATATATTGAATGCACCTGTTCAAAATATCGTTACGCACAGTCGAGATATAAAATTTAAGTCCCTACAAGGTTAAAACATTGGTCTGATCTTTTTTATGTTACGACAAAGCCTGTAGAAAACAATTTATGAACTCACCAACACCAATAAATTTCGTATTTTTGTAATACTGCTTTTCTGTCGTGAAACTTAAAGAAAACGAAAACAGATTGGTGTACATTCCTACTTAGACCAGCAAGGAATGGCTTCTTTTTTTTAAAGTACGACCAGTAAACATGTTGTGCTTTGTTTTTACCTCATAGCATTCCTTGAAAATACAAAAATTGAAGATTTGAAGAGCTTATCACAGGAAACACATTTGTGATACAGAGCAAATTTTATACGCTTTGAAATGTAAGGCGGTTTGAAGTAAAGATAAATGTTAAACTATTAGAATCTGAAATATTACCCGAAGAAGAGTTTAATTTAACGACGTCGGACCCTTTTGAATCAGAATTGGACGAATTTTTATTAGCATTTTTAGGTTTTCGTTTTCTTGTTTGAATCCCTTCTTTCCTCATGGCTAATGGTCGGTTTACCTGTAGAGAAACAACAAAATCTAGTCTATTCAATTTGGTCAAACATTATAAAAATGCTGAATCACATTAAGTAAACATTAAATAGCTGATATAGTTAAATATATATATATATTCAATGTCTCACAAATAAAAGGTCTGTGTCAAGCACAGAATGGTATAAAAATGTTTCCATAATGTATTTTTCTTGATGTTAGCTTTATAATCCTACTAAGAAATTGATATACTGTTTACATTATGCAATTTGTAATAAAGGCCACAAGCATTGCAGACAGGTTCTCCTTCATTATTCCTCCGCCAGAGTGTCGTAGTGGTGGTTCCACAGTTAGAACAGCATAGACCGGTTCTTCTGGACACCGCCTGGTGAGTGAATGAAAAATTAGTACATAGCCATAATAGTTTTGAAACTTGAAGAAATCAGCAACTCATGTTTGAAATATAGAAATTTCATATTTAATTTCAGTTTGTTGTTTTAGCTGAATGGGCACAGTTAAGGTTGTTAAAAATACTTTTGGAGGAATTACTTCTTATCAAAGGATTTTGAAATCTTTTAAAGTGTGGTGTACGTTCCATTAATACTAAATAGTTCTGAGTGTATCACGATATTTTGCTAGAGATTGTTTTGACAAAGATTATATATCAACCAGCATCTCTCTCTTGGGAACTTTCCAAAATGTTTTGTAGGTAACTCGCTTCGCCTCAACGCTTTTGAAATCGGGTTGACGTCTTAAGAGTTTAGATACACTGATAAGATAAAAGGTCATTCAGAGTATGTAAGCTTAGAAACCTATATTATTTGTATTTTACTAGTTTAAATGTTGTTTTTCATTAACGTATAATATGATAAGCAAAATATTATGAACGAAAGCTGTATTCTGAGTTTGAGTTCAACTGGTGAATTGGACTTGATATATACAGGTAACAGATTATTTTTCGATGATTTACACACAAAAATATTGCATTTTAACTTAAGGATTGCAGAAACAGCATAGTGTTTCACTAACTTCAACATATGATGTCTATCAAGACAACTCATCACGCCAGGCTAAAACTGCTAGCTTCATTATAAAACATTCATAATGCCAAATCTCGCTATAAACATATACGACAGTGACAGTTGTTTTATTATCGCTATGCTCTAAGGATTTAGTATGTGTATGGGTCCAAAGCAAACTCATTATCAAGTCATTAAAAGCTACAGATAAACTACTCTTATTTCCTAGTTTAAGACGTAACTGATAGAGCGCTGATGACAAAACTTACCAAAAACAAATACCTCAGATAATATTAGGAATTTTGTCTGGACATGGAACATTCTCTCCTATTTGAGTTCTTCCACAGATAAAGAAAGAGTACGGCAAATGATAAATCTGACAATGATGAATGATCGGAGAAACTGTGGTCAGCCTCTCACTGAGCCACATGAACATGAGATTCTTGTGCTCATCACAGTATCGTGTAACGATGATAGTTTAACAGAAACAGTTTAGTTTTATGTAATTAGAAGAAACAAACACAACCACATTACATCTGTCATATTCAATGACGACGGGGATTTCATCCAATACCAGCACTCATCAGACCTACTGGAATACCACAGTCATAGTGGTGGATTGGGCCAGGGATTGTCAAACTTCTTTTTTTTTGCTGGACCCCTCTTTGAAAATATTTCAGGCTGTGACGACCTCTCCGCCCCCATCACACACACATAAAGTGGTATTTCAAATTACTATACACACTTTAATATATCCCCTATTGCAATATTTTATGCTCTCTTGACCCCCTTTTTTGACGGGACCACAGATTGAGAAACACGGGTCTAGGCAATAGATATTATAATCAATTTTCATTAGTAACAACAGTTATGTTGGGAACAGGTTAAGCAGATGAATTGTAATTTTTATTTATTTTATCTAAGCCATTCACATATAGGATTTTTTGGGTAAGAACAAATAATTATTTATTTTAACACTGATTATTTATTTTATTAAGGCAGATGATAAGGCTAAGAACTTGAGATCAAAGTGTAAGCAAAATTTCTTAATTGTGCTTATGAATATATGAAGTGAATAAAGTATGAAGGTAAAAAATATACAACGGAATTAAAAAAGAACATACTTCGATACAACGTTTTGCACCATTAATGTGGCACATGCTACAATAGTACAACGCGTTTATATACATCTAAACGTCTGTTATCACTGTGATACTGCGTATCTTTAAAATGTTGACAGGCGTAATATGGAACATGTTCGTGTTTTTTTTATACTTGAACCTAAATTCCTCACAGTCTCCTCTATATAAGTACTATTACAATTTTCCAAAAAGGAATTTAACTTTTTCCTAGATAAAAAAAAACTTTACTCATGATGGAAGGTTTATACACCTTTTCTGTTTTTTTCCATATTATTTTAATCGCAACTGTTAAATCACATACATATGGAATGTCACAGCAAGCCAAGTTTTTAAATATGTTTTTTTCTCTGAAACCTTATATATGAGTAATTACATGTTTTAAAACAATTTTAAAGATACAGAACATCACTGTAATAATAAAAGTATAAGCATCATTTGCTTTGAACCTAACGTTAATAAACGTTAAAGTAAAAGAAGCTATTGCAATAAACCAAATGAAAAAGGTAGATCTATTTTTTATTTTAACGTAAAGGTTGTATATATTGTATCTATAACACCACCAGTAACTGTATATAAACATTGTCGTATTGTTGAGTCATGTACCACACTAACGATGACGAAATGTACTGCGGGATATTCTTTATTTTCATATAAATGTTAAATTATTGAATTAAATATAAATTAGAATGTATGATATTGTAGGCATTAAAAAGCGGGAAGTAACCTTTAGTAAAATTGCTAAGCTGAAAGCTATAGGGTTCATACTTTCGCTATAAATTGATCTCTGCATTTTTAAGAAAGGCGCAAAAAGGAACGAATGATTTCATGTTATTACACTAAAAATAAAACAGTTTACTTTTTCTGTAATTACCTTTATGAGAGCATGCATTAAAGATCCATTTTTAGCAAATTCAGTTGTTAACAACTGTAAGTTTCAGAATTAAGTTAAGCAAAGATCAGGTTATGTTTCACTATGCAACCCATTTGGTCACCTTTCTTAGAAGAAATATAGCAAGTAATTAGGCCTAAAATGGATCGAAATGCTCATCCTATGTTAGCCCTACTTACAAGCCGCCTCTGAGGTTTGATAAGAGGTCTGTTTACCCCGTTCATCTTGTGGTAAAGTCCGCAGGCGTTGCAGAGGTAATGGCCAGTTCCGTCTCGCCGCCATAATGGTGTAGAGATGGCGCCACAATTGACACACTCCCGTCCTTCTGCAAAATGGGCGTAAGCTGCGGCCGGATCAACTGTTCATAGACAACACAATCAAGTTGAAACACAACTATAACACATATATATATATAAAATATTTATAAGATGTTTTTTCAAATGTTAATTGTAATAATACGTATATTAATAATATATCTTTAATTTCCAAATATTACGACACTTTTATATAAAAAATATAACTACTGTAGAATAAACATCACATAAGTCTAGGATAATTCACAAGTCACACCCCATATGAGATTCCCCAGAAATTGTTGAACTGTAAGATCACAAATGTCCTATGTATTTCATCCACCACTTACAAAGCTGAGCAACTCATAGAACATTTTTGGTGCTACAGTTCACCATTTTCTATGTACTTCACGTGGAGCGTGACTTTTGAATAGTTGTGTATGTTAAAGTAGATCATAGTATTGATTAAAAATCACACATGTACCACTGCATAGTCAAACGGTTGTGAAATACTTTAACCCTGAGTATTTCGTTTTGACGTCCTCTATTACAGGGGAACTGGGCGTGACTGAGTAGTTATCGTGCCCGCACGGTGAATCCGATGGTTCACGGCTTGCGTACTATTACTAAATAAACGTATTCTGCACTTTGAAGCTGTTTGCAGCTACATTCTCTCTAATCTATTAGTTCCAAATAAGGACAGATAGCGTCTATATTATTTGTGCAGCTCTTCTCGAATATTCAAAAGCAAGCCACACAAACCTATTACTAATTAACAGACTTGACTCACTAGAAAATAGTAACTTAATTACAAAATGAGCGACAGAAAATATCTCGGTTTTATTTAGGAATGATTTTGTACAAGATGAAGATGTATAATGGTCCACCAGGTGGGGATCATGGAGTAGCTGTAGAATCAAGTAATTGTGGTCTTACACGTAGAATGGCTTGCTAAACTTCTTACACTTAGAACATCTCGCTTAACCTCTTACACGTAGAATGGCTCGCTAAACTCCTTGGACAGGTTACTTTAAGAGGTTCTGTAGTGTATTTCTCTCATTATATGCTAATGTTGTATGCAAGGTGGAATTTATAGAACTTTACAGAATATGAAACAAGTGATCAACAGAACAAAAACAGGAAATATACTGTGACAAGGCACGGGAAGTTTCGGGTGAATGTAAAAAGTGCTTCTAGTCTTTGTGATAGATTGTCACAATAGTTTCCTAGCGATTCTTCTAAAATCACCGTATTGGGTGGAATATTTTATGTTACTCGTTATTATTTTCAAAGAATAATAACTGGATTTGAGTTGATAGCGAGCGATTTATGTTTACATAGTTCTAACGTCGTTGTGAAAGAAACATAAAACTAATAACTTCAAAAAATACTTCTGGCAAATAAAAGGTATAAAAGAATTTACTAAGATCTTAATGAAATTTTTGTTCTTATAATATTTTGCACTGAAAAAATTGCAGCTAAAACAGAATTACCTTCTAAAATACTTTATTGTGTAATAATTCTTTTAAAATGTTCTAAATGATTATATTCACACAGCCCTTAAATAAATGAGATAAGATCCAGTAATTTAAAGAAATAAGCTCGAGCAAAATTTCAAAGACGATTATATTTAGTTAACAATCAAAAGCGACTTAATTTATTGGTTTTTCATTATTTTAAAAGACTAATAATTTTATGTATTAAAAAAACGTTTATTAAAAAAATAAATTGTTACAACTACCTCATTTTATTACAAGAATATAATTGCCGGCTTAATTCTCTATTATATCGGAAACATGATAACAGTAGGTTATATTCCATGAGAAAGTAACCTCTGAAGTAAGTTTTTATATATTTTTATCCTTTAGAGAGACAACTGAACATTATGTATAGGTACCGATATAACTGGCGAGGAATATTAACATTGAAACTCGGTAAGTCTGCAAGTTTGCGACGCCAAAAATTGGGTTTAAATACCCGCGATGAGCATACCACAGACAGCCCATTAACCAACCAACCAACCAAATCGCAAGAGAACTTCCATATCCGATACGGAAAATGTTCAAAAACAAATCTAAAATATAGTACATGTTTGAAAAATAAATAGAAAACTCATTGTATATGACTGATTTACTTTTAAAATGCTACCTTTAAATGTCATTGAATGCATATCTTTGTATATGCGCATTTTTTATTGGTGGTCAACTAGCCAGGGCTCCACCAATGTAATTTATTGAACTACAAAGGAAAGGGGCTCCAGCTGTGTGTGTGTGTGTGTGCGTGTGGAGAATAATACAACTTTATTTTTAATAGTTTCTACATAAAAATAAACATAAGTTCTGAGATTGAACCCTCAGCAGATCTATATTTTATAAAAACGCTAATACTGTAAGTATCAGAGTCAAAACGTTTCTTATATTGGAAACTAAATGTGCTTAAATATGTCTTAATCGTTGTCCTAACTGTGCGATCTTGGTAAATTTGAACAAAACAAATTCAAATAATTTCTATTGAAAGTGTTATAAATCTCTGTAACATAAATACCTATGACACCATGCAATATTACTTACAAAATATAGATGGTATAAATGCGTACAAAACCGATTGGTCCTGTAACGCACCTGATTTCTTTAACTCGGTAGCAATCGGAGTTATCCCACAGTAAAATACCTATCTTATTTGTGAAAACACAGATAGACCTATCAGTGGTTTGATCAGTTTTTATTTACATACAAAAAACAAGCCTTTTTCTTGCTGTCTCTCAAGTAACCAGCTTAAGCTGTGCAACCATAAGGCAGCCAAATTACACACTAATTGCTTTTGTTTACACTTTTTAGTTCATGCTGGTATGAAAACATTAAGAGCACAGTTGAGCCTTAACTTAATTACATTGGTTTGACAGCTATCTCGGAATAGGCTTAATAAGTTTAGTAACGTAGGGTGTTTGAGCTGCCCCATTAAACTGTTAAGATTATCAGAACTTGTGTTTTAGAACTATAATAATAAATTGTATTTATTGTGTAATTGAAATCAGAAAGTATCTATAAAATTAAGCTTGTCCTCTCGTATTGAAATATTAATATATATTTTTCCAACGATAAAGATTGCTTGAAAAAAGAACTGTTACTTCCAATTCCTGATTTAGTATGTTGCTAATAAGAATATTTGTCCGAGGAAATCTGATCATCTAGGGATGTTATTTCAGCGATTTAACCATCGAACTCTAGGTTACAATTATATGAAAATGTAGCACGATTTTCGAAAGACAAAAGAAATAACGCAGTTTAACTTTTGTTACATAAAGTACTGTCGTTATTGAGTCTTCCCAATAAACTGTAAAAATCTATCATTTTCTAATGGAAACTATAATAAGATAGTAGACTATAATATGTTACTGATGTAAAATCTCTACAGCTAAAGCATCTTATTGTCTTACTAGCTGACGTACCCGTCACCTGGACGGAAGTTATGTATCTCCCCATGGACCCAAAAAGACTTTCATGCTAAACTTGGTGAAGACCCATCCACAGGAGGTGAGGTAGTGTCAAAACAACGCTCATAAAAACCACGAAATGCAAAATTCTTATGTACCCCCGCACGGACCTAATACATTTTCATACCAATTTGGGTGAAGATGCATCCACACCCTGCGAAGTAATTACATGGACATACAACAGAGCGTACTGTTATATTTACATAGATACCAGCTGGAGTACCCGTCCTCTGGACTGAAGTTATGTAACTTCATGATTAATGAAAGGTTATCTTAGGACACGAAAAGCTGCTTCCCTTATATGTAATTGTGAAAAACGCAAAACGCCCATAAAAGTTGCAAAACACAAAACGTGAAATCGAAAATTTGCATGGATCCAATAAACCTTCATGCCAAATTTAGTGACGATCCATCAACTGGGGCGAAGTAGTGGTAAAAAACGCAAAAACGGTCATAAAAACCGCAAAATGCAAGACTGAAAATTTGTATGTATCTCCCTATGGACCCAACAAACCTTCATGCTAAATGTAGTAAAGATCCATCACAAGGGGGCGAAGTAATGGTAAAAAACGCAAAAACGGCCATAAAAAACCGCAAAACGCAAGACTGAAAATGTGTATGTATCTCCCCATGAACCCAACAAACCTTCATGCTAAATGTAGTAAGGATCCATCACAAGGGGGCGAAGTGGTAGTAAAAAATGCTAAAACGTCCATAAAAACCGCTAAACGCAAACTGCAAAATTGAAAATTTGTATGTACCTCTGGGTGGACCTAATGAACGTCCATACTAATTTTGGTGAAGATCCATCTACACCATGCGAAGTATTTACATGGGCATTACTATTATACGTATATAGATTCTTTAACATACCCGTGCCACACACGTTTATCAACAACCCGCGAGCTTAACGTTCACACCCCATCGTTCAAATTCAGTATGCCACTTAAAGTTTTATTCACTCTAGTAAATTTTCCGAATGCACATTAGAAGAACTCTTAATTCCGCTAGCGGGGTGAAGAGAAACAGAAGTTTCTGAGCGCCCCTGGTTGTCTAACAAGCCCTTTGTTAGATTTTAAAACCATAATAACTGTCAAGTCGATACGATACGATACTTTTCAAAACTCGCCTCAAAATCTCCGCGATTTCTTACATGTGTAAACGCATGCAGTGCTGATATTAAAGGAAAAATGTAACAGTACAAAACACGAGATTATTTTGCTCTCGCAAGTACAGAAACTAATAAATTCTCCATGATTAAACATCATTACAGTTTATGTACCATAGTAAAACACATTAAAAAATTATTTACGGTTTTTACTAGTTAATGTGTATGTATTTATTTCAAAGTATATATATATTCAAAGAAGATCCTTTACAGTCTACTTATGTAATGCGAAATCATATATCATACAGCAACAAAATCTGATTATTTTTTATTTAATATATATACACACACGTGAGATTTACACACAAACGTGTTTTGTAAAAAGAAAATTGGTGAATATTTTAAATATTTTCCTACCGATAATTTCTCTTAGCTCTATAAGATTGCTTGCATAGCGAACAGTTAAAGAAGACAACGTGAGACTGAAGAGGACGCATGAATGTGTTGAAACTAGTTTCTCTGATATCAGACTTCTGACGGTTCCGTTTACTGCGGTTCTTTTCACTAAAAATTGATTTTTTTTTACATTATGTATTTATTATATACTGAAAATCTCGTGCTTTTCAAATTTTATCGTTCAAAGCCTAAAACAAAAAAGTATGTCACTTGTGAAACACTGTTGACGATTAAAAAGAATTATTTAACGATTGCGTGCACTTCAAAATAATGGTCTAGAGCCTTTCTATGTATCTATGTTTGAACAATTTTTCAGAGAACAAGCTGAGGCATGGTTTGGTTGTTGTTAAGCCTAAAGCTACACAACGGGCTATTTCTGTTCTACTCACCACGGGTATCGAAACACGGTTTTTAGCGTCATAAGCCTGCTGAGCCACTTGGGACGCTTAAAATGTTTAAATTTCTTACTTTCCGCTTATAAGCATAATTTTAGAAACTTGTATTAAAATTTTATTTTCGTTTTCATTACAATCTGAATATAACATCTATTACTATGAGTAAATAAAAGAGAAATTTAATAGTTTAAAAATCTTAATTGTCTAAAACTCATTTTGATGCAAGGAATTATATAGAACGCTTGGTTGGTTGGTTGTTTATAATTAAGCACAAAGCTACACAATGGGCTACCTGTGTTCTGTCCACCACGGGTATCGAAACCCAGTTTATAGTGTTGTTAGTCCGCAGACATACCGCTGTGCCACTAGGAGGCATATACAACGCGTTTCTTACAAATACTTTTTGAAATGTAGTCGAAATCGACACACTGTAATTTTTTTTTCTTCTTCATACAACATATTAGTCTAGGAACAATGTCTCTCCATGGGTCAGCGGTAAGTTTACGATCTTACAACACTATAATATCCGAGGTGGACAGAGCGCAGGTAGCCCATTGTGTAGTTTTGCCCAAAAAATAAAACAAGAAACAACTAAAAATAATAAACACGTAAAATCCTCAAGACTTCACATGATAATGTATCAAAATATTTTGGAAGAAAAACGCAAACAATCAAAATTATAGCCTTGAGGTACAATAAAGAGATGTAATATCGTACAGAACAATGATGCATTATGCAGGTAACAAAAGAAAATGATTTCAAATGTCGCCTTAGGACACCACAATATTATAGAAACAAAATTAATACTTTCCTTTTGTTACCATGCAATTCTGTTAGCTGAGTGAAATCATATAACGATTAACAATAAAAATCCTTTACAGGCTCACCTAAAAGTGAAAGGTTTAACATGTAAGGATATATCATTGTCTGATAAAAAAAGAAACCTAAACTTATTTACACGTAACACTTTATGTTGCAAGGATAAGTAAACATCTTTCTTGTTAGAGTTCTTCATTATACGATTTAATGAAAGGTCAGTACATGAGATAACTATGAGAATGGTATCTTTGAAAATAAATTTAATATGGCCTAAATAGAAAAAAGATTGTCTTTCGATTAAAATGCCTTTATTATAAAATAGAATATAATGTTAATTTTTATACTGGCTACACGATAACTCTCAAATTCAACTAATTATAGTATTCCTCTGGGTTATCCTTCTATTTTCGTATAATATGTAATGAATTTATCTTTAGCTTACAAACAGTTGGTTATAAACAAAAAATCGTCGAATTCCACATGTCATTTTATCTTTAGAAAAATACCTCAATTAATCGCATTGCACTTCATGAAAACGGATTTATTACAAAACAATAAACTAAAGGGGATGTGAATTAAAACTAAATTACCAGTATCATCATAACTGAGAGGAATGTTTAAGTCCTCTTTTAAAACAATTTTCTATCCTACCAGCAACAGACACAGTTTTCAAAGTTACACCTGAGTATATAATTTATATTTGAGCTTGTCATTTCCCTCATAATATAACTTGAGGAATAATTATTTTACTAAATACAGGTTTGGCATGTTTCATTAACAGGTGTAGAAATATTGTAGCGGCTATAGATAAAGATCACTTTTATGAAGTCACGGGTATAGATATCTAGTCTGAAAACAAGACCTCAGACCATATGTTTATTCGAACACAGTAAAAAAAGCCAGCTGCACAGGACAGCACATTACACCTATAATATATACACAATTCAATCTCGATACTGCATCATGCAAATAACTAACAACTACACACATACATGTATTATTTGACATACGTTTAGAATGATTTATAATGATAAGAAACACCTGTGACAACACAGTATGCTTTTATGTGTTATTATTTTAAAAAGTAACAAGCACATCGTGCAGAGTTGACACAAAAACAGCAACGAAAACACACACTTTAGTAATGCAAATTATTCTAAGTATGACTATAAAGCTGCCAGCGTCAAACTGGGTAACAATTATAGAATTCATAGGTCCAGTCAATATCACACGATAAATATATAAATATCTTCTTGTTTCGTTAACAGTAAAGAAGAATTTTACAATTGTTAACTCATGTATTGTACCTTCGAAACATAATTTCTTTTTCTAAAAATGAAAATATTCCACTATAATAACAAGCAGTTCATAGCTTATTTATTCATTTGTAATTAAGCACAAAGCTACACAATGGGCTAGCTGTGCTCTGCTCACCACGGGTATCGAAACCCGGATTCTAGCGTTGTAAGTCCGCAGACATACCGCTGTGCCACTGGGGGGGGGGGGCACTATGTTCCTTAAGAGAATGAATATAACACCTACCTGTTCGTCGCGCTAGGGGCGCTGCCGTAGCTTGCATTGTCTGGATAGACACCATCCCACTTTCAAAGTTGGCCCAAGGATTGACGTCACCGCCGACATAACTAGCGTGTGAACTGCGTCCATTAGTACGCGACAAATAGCTTGAAGCTTCTCTGCAAGCGGCTCCAACAACTCCACCTGGTGTCGCAGGCTGAAATTATTTACAATGCTAATGAATCTGTTTGGTTTATTTTTACAATCTTTATTAATCTATTTTAGTTACAAGTATTTTATACAAATAAAACAGTCATGGTATTTGAGGAAAAGCTTAATTTTAATGCATATTGTACATGTAAGATATTATAAGATTATACTTTATATATCAAATTCATGATGTTAGAAAAACACATAGGTTCAATAAGTCTTGATAGAAATGAATAAAAACCCTATAACCCTTAAAGTTATAGGGTTTTTATTCATTTTATACGTCAAAGATGTGTTTAAAATAGCTATTTAAAATTCTTAGATTTTAAAAATAAAATTAACACATATCATTTTATCCTATAATACACATATCCTCCAGTGGGTCAGCAGTAAGTTCACGGACTTACAATGCTAAAATCCAGGGTTTGATTCCCTGCAGTGGACAGAGTTTAAAACAAACAAACAAAATACGTATACACAACAAAAACGTTCACATATTCCAAAGTCCCTTGTTGCCTTCTAGCAAAGGATTGAGACTTTTTATTATATCATATATTATAAATTCCTTAATGCCTTCTAGTGGCTTAACAATAAATTCGTGAGTTTATAACGCTAAACTTATTGTTCAGTTCCTGCGGTTGGCACAGCATAGATAGCCCACTGTGCAGCTTTGTGCTTAAAAAACGAAATTTCTTAATGTTGTATAGCATTGTGTTATATCCTAATACTTTTAAAAATACATTAACACATACCTCACTTTGGGTAGCGATATAAGATTTGAATTGAATCTTATTATATTATGTGTGTGTGTGTGTGTTGTGTCTCAACTTCAGAAAAGGAAGAGATGCATTAAAATGTAATCTAAATGGACAATCGTTTGTCTCAAAAAATTTACAATAAAGTTCTTTGTTGTTGTTTTTTTACTCTCATTGCCAAAATACTGAATTTCGATAACAAAAAAACATAAACACTTATACAATTAGGTATTTTTTCCTGGATTCATTCATTCATTTCAATACTGGCTTATTCGCAGACTGATTTTTTGACCTAAATAACTACATATACCCTGTTACTAACATTTTCCACCAACCTTTGCCATATATTTGGTAGACAAGTCTGCCACTCAAAGCAGCTCCAAAGGTAGTAAGATATCAAGGATTACCCTACTTTTTGCCATGGACCAGTGAAGTAACTCTAAATCAGCTAAAACAGGTTCACCCAAGGTTTTACCTCTACTACTTCTCACAGTTGAGGATACATAATTATATCCAAGCCATTCTCCAGGTTCTCATCCAATTTAGATTATCCTTATTTAACCCCCCTCACGAGTTAAGATGTTTAAGGTGCCATGAAAGTCAGTGCCTTGCATTAACGGTTGTAATAAGTAGATTACTGTTCGTGAGATCCAACAGCAGGGAATTCCTGCACACAGTGGTTGCGCAAGTCTTGCAATGCTGAATCTGAGTGATGTATTTTTTAATGCCACGTGTTGCATTTCGAGTAATATTTCGTTTCAGCACGCTCATTGGTCATAGCCATAGTAGATTTGGCAAAGCTGGTAGACTGATATGTCTCTGACGCTCTTATCTTCAATACTGTGTCCAATAATTGTTAATTTCTAAAGGATATTAAGATTTTTTCCTTAGGCATTTTCATCTGAAATGCCTGTCTGTGGCAGCTGCTGACCAATAGATTTGTACATAGCGTTGCACCAAAGGATTCACATGCAAATTAAATTGTAATGATCCTCTTTCTAGCTATAGGTGTGCTGTCGCAATATTTTCGGCATAATAATGAATATCATATTAAATCTATTTAGATAAAAAAAAAGAAAAGTAAGCCTACATTTATTATTAATGTGGCTGATATATATATATATAACATTTTTCAAGACCAGAAAATCGTTTTAGAGAATTTAATAAAAATATTTGAAATATTATGCAGTTGTAACTTATTTTCGAAAACGTTTATTCATTATTTTACCTTTTTTATTACCTTAAAGTATAATAAGCAAATACTATGTCAAAATGAGAAATCTTTTCATACGCAATATGTAAATAACTTATTTCTATTTTATACTTAATTAAATGGTTATCTGGCCTACCTTCTCCAGGAATCAGGGTGACACCAAGTTCTTTATGATGAAATAGTTTAATTTTGAAATGATAGGTATTACAAAAGAATAGACGATACACAGAAACGACAACTAAGCGGTATCGCGTATAGATTAAATTGATAAGGCATTTTTGTAAATTCAGTTGTTTCAAAGGAACACAGAACATAATGTAACAACTGTATTCAATATATTTCTATTTGCTGCTGAGAAACACATAACTCAAAATCATATTTAAGAAGACTGTCATATTACGGTGTTTAAGACTGAACTGATAACTTTATTATTTTGCAATTATGTAAAAATAATTACAGAAATAAATTATCAGAACCGTAATATTTCCATTGTTATATGTATAATCCATACCTGCAAGAGGGGAAAACGCACCTCATCGCTTATATAGATAAATTTAGGGTTAATCCTATTTTAGAGCACTTAAAATGATGAGTTTGCTATTCTAATTTTCAATGTCGTTTTATGCACTCATATAGGAAAAGCGTTCGGGTCACAGATCCCTAAGATTCCCTAATTTTGAACTAAGGACCAGACGGGTGGCAGCCAGTTAGCAGTACCATTCGTCTCAAGGGATCTGCTATACGGTGAAAAGAATAAGGTATTTACTGTTACCTTTTTAACTCACTCACAACTGAAAGTGCGGAGCGTGTTCAGAGGAATCAAGACGCGAGCTTTGGATCCACCGATACGTAGTCCAGTACGCTGACAACTAGGCCATGAGCAGTCATGTGCACAAACTGAACTCTTAATATATTTGAGTAAATCTCGATGTATGCATATAGTATTTTTTGTTACTTTTGAATGAAAAATCCTTAAGAAAGTTGATATAAATTTATTTGAAAAACAGCAAAATAATTTGTGTTTATTACAAAATAAGCTTAACAGTTTTAGTAAATAATGAATTTAAGATATTTACTTTAAGAGCTTGCTAATAAAAATCACAAATATGGATTGAAATTTTAAAAGGATTATTCAAGTAATGCTACAGTTTTATAGTTATATTTTCAAGTGGTTTCTCTATAATATTGTAAAAAAAACAGCATGATACTTTGTTAATGATATAATTTGAGTTACTAAAAACTTATTTGAGTACATCTTGGACAATAATTTAATGAAATATGGAATACTGTCAAATTAAAACATTTCTACGAATTTTAGCCTTTTGTAATATTTAAAAAAGAATCTAATTAGCTTATGTTAACTTACACCTTCTTTCAGAGAACACATCTTAACTAACCTCTATTTCATAGCTCTTTTAACCACAATGTAAATAACTACAAATACAAAAGAACTCCTGAATGGTGAACATTTCCATCCTTATGATCATATCGAGGTAAATTGTTACTGTTTTCCCTACAAGTTACAAAGTTTTGTATGTATGGTGTGTATACGTCACAAAGCTGTGTACGTATGTTGAATATAAGAAACAAAGCTGTGTACGTATGTTGAGTATGAGTTACAAAGCTGCGTACGTATGTTGAGTATGAGTTACAAAACCGTGTATGTACTGTTTTTCCATGAGTTACATAACTGTGTGTGTACTGTTTTCCTATTAGTTACAAAGCTGTGTACATATGTTGAGTATAAGTTACAAAGCTGTGTACGTATGTTGAGTATAAGTTACAAAGCTGTGTACGTATGTTGAGTATAAGTTACAAAGCTGTGTACGTATGTTGAGTACGAGTTACAAAGCTGAGTATATACGATTTTCCTATGAGTGAAAAAGCTGTGTATGTACTGTTTAGGAAAAAATAATTGTTTAGTGTCCTGATAACTCATAAGTTTATCAATTAGATAGCCCAACGCATATTTGGTTTTTTTATCAACTAAAGTTAGTCCGTATCATAATTGTTGTAAAATAAGTTAATTACCACTTGGTTGTAATATTAAACATATGTTTATAGGCTATATCTTCATTAACTTTATATTTCTCAGCCATCCACATCTCGCCTTGTAAATTCTTAGGAAATAGTTTTTTATTTATATGTGGTAGTCGAAATGTGGTAAAACGTTTTTTTTTTCTGCGTGTGTTTACTTAAAATGGTATGTTTAACTATAAAACCTTAAGCAAGAATGTAAATAACATTAATTGTGTTTAAAATGGTGTTAACTAACTTTGTTTTATCTGAAAATCTTCCATTCCATTTTCTGGACATGTTTTGCGATGGCTTGTTTATCAGCAGTGAGCTATCTCAAATAGTAATACAATAATAAATACCTGAAAACCGTATCTCCCACTTGGTATTCCGGCATGTGGAGTTGAACATGCCGAGAAAGAGTCTGCAGAGACCGGACTCGGACGGCCATTGGTGGTACCCCACACACTGACCGCAGAGCAGTGTGAGTGAGCTGCTGGAACAGGAGGAGAAGGAGTACCGGTGGCTGGGCCCATCATTTGGCTTACAGAAACCGATGGGCTGTGCATGTACTGGTGCATATGGACGAGCGAGCGCGTGCTGGGCACGTAGACCGGGCTGGTATGAAGATAACTCCCAGAGTCTTGATAGGAAGGTGCTGGTATATGAACAGAAGGGAGGTTTTGAAACATGGTACTTCTTTGATAAACAATGAAGCTCGAAGGTTAATTAGGTTAAGCGTCTAATTCTTGGTCTCCGTCAGCTACATCAGAAAACAAAGTCAGCATATATAATATGTTCGAATCATGTCGACCTACAGAAAAAGAAAGATTTAAGTAAGACAAAACGTATATAATGAATAAATAATTGAACCCCACATGAAAGTTTAGGTAACTACAACTTTAACCTTCTCCTACAATATCAAAAACATTCCTTGATGACTGCTTATCCTAAAAAAAAAAATAGTTTTATGCCAAAAACAAGGCTTTTGCAATTGTGGGCTGAGATAACAGCGTAAAGGATGAGTTACCCGACTTATTTTCCCGGTTCTTCTTTTATCAACCTGTCAACCCAGTCTATTTTCTGACCTCAAATACTTAGTAATATCACCCTATGAAGTCACTTTTTCCTATTAAGTCTAGAGTTCTACTCTAGCCAGTGGAACCACCTTCATCTCTTTGCTGTTCTCTCTAAAGAATGTTCCCAGGTGGCTGAGCGGTATGTTTGATGACTTATAACACCAGTTCTACCCTAGTCTGACCGGTACTCACATCTACTTGATCTGTTGTTTTTTTGTAATATATGGGTTCACATCTTAGTAACTTTTCTATTTTTACCCAAGATCAGCAAAAAATATATAGTCGGTTTATTATACTCTGACAAATGGTACGTACTATTGCAGTACTTTGGCCTCTTCACTAACCAGTTTATCGTTCTCTTTATGAAGTTCATTATAATAACTTGAATAAACTGTTCTACACACGTGATAAAGAGTCTTTACTATAAATTCATTAGAGCACCGTTTTATCAGATTACCTGATGTCATAATCATAATATACTGACTATAAATACCTGCCATTTCTTTAAGAAAGTTGTGGACTATTCCTTGTTCCTCTCTCATCAGTCAACCGTATATTTTATCATGGTTATGGTTAACTATCTATACAATCCAAGTGAACTTACTCAAATAGCTTACGATCTTACTATAAACAAACATCGTTGGAATATTGTATTATCTTTAGCAAAATAAACTTATGTTCACTAAACATCCTCCATACAAATTTGTCTTTTTTTCCTAAACAGTCTGTATATATAAACTTCAGAAAGCAAGTCTATTCAGTTATGATCAGTTTATTTCAGTACATGCTAAAGCCCACTCTTCTGCGCTAGTTAGTTGCTATATTATAGTATACGGTTAATTCACCTTCTGTCTCACTGTTAATCTACAACAGTCAGATGTTACTTTAATTCATATGTCTCAGCCAGTTCATATATCATTCTGACCAATCAATTACTTGACCCACCTTACGTTTTCAGAACATAGTCTCCAGTGCATTTACACAGAACGACTCCGTCAAATGACAGTGCTTATTGAATTACTGCACCGTGGATACCTGTTCTTGCTCAATACTTTAATAACAACAAAGATAGGAGGCGTGGTCACGCGCCACCTTCTGTTAATGCAACTAATAAAATCTCCGTAGAGCAGGGTTTCCTAAAGTGTGAGATACACACCCAGAAGGGGCGCAAATCATCTTTGGAGTGGGGGGCGATTAGGGTAGAGTCAATAGTGCAATTATACAAAATTAAGCGTTTTAATATATTTTTATTAATGAAAATAATAAGTAATTATTACAACACGTATAGTATTTTAATGCGTATCCGTGTATTACATCTTGCCAATTAACTTAATCTTTTACTCATTTAAAAAAGAGTATTCAAAAAAGAAACCATATTCATTAAAAAATGGCGTGAATAACAAATGTCTGGGAAACGCTGCTGTAGAGTGTCCGTAAACCATAAGACACAACCAGAGGTTTGTTAGAATATTGTGATCATGCACAGCGTAGATTCCCATCATCTTGTAGGGCAGAGGTTCCCAAACTTTTGTCCACGGCCCCCTGGGGATCCTGATAGTACTGAAGGGGATCCGCAGTAATACATCAAATTTATTAAATTAACATTTACTGAAAGAGTAACGAATAAAATAAAATGCGAGGTTTCTCTTAACTTGCTTAACTAGAATCGAAGTATAGAAATAAGATAAATGTGGAGCCGGATCTTCGTTTGAAACTGTCAAACATTGACCAAGAAATTCGTAAGATTGTTTCAGCAAAGCAGTATCATCCTTCACATTAAAGTAAGTCGTAAGATTTTTTTTTAATTTTCCATATTTAAATCTATTTTCATTGTTCTATTCTTAAAACTATAATCAACTTGTAAAGATAGTAAAATACGCATATGATACACCAGTATTTTTAACAACGGGAGAAGATCCGCCAATACAGTAAAGAAATTGAAGGGGGTCCACCGGTTGGCAAAGTTTGGGAACCTCTGATGTAAGGTCTTCCTTTTCTATCTTTCTATGTATTTGTCTGTTATTCGGATAGGAACACAACCACAGTATTTAGTTCACATATTATTGAACATTCTCCTTTGCTTTAACTGAGAAGATCTTATTTTAGATACAATAGGTCTAAGTGCAAACCCGTCTTTATGAACTTTCGGTAACCCATACATTATCCCTGGATGTGAACCACGTGGTCTTAACCCCGAATATTAAATTTCGTTTGTTATATCTTGTTTTTTTCTTAAGATCAAATAAATGTCTTTGTAATTAATTTTATCTTGTTTTGTTTGGATCAGAATCCAGTTTCTTGAATTTTGTTTTATCACTTAAAATCTCCTTTGCTTTCGTATTATAATTATTTTCATTAAGCAGTGCTATGCCATTCCCTTTATGTGACTTACTAACAACTAAGTATTGCATTCGTTTAAAATAATCAAGAATTATGGAACATCTGAATATTTTGATTTAACCAGTTTTCTAGCATTGAATAACATACTTTGAAACGGTGTGATGAACTCCTCCGGTAAAAGAAAATTTCACGATTTTCGCTCGAGGTAAAGTGAGTTCATAGTGAAAACATGTATATTAATAAATATAAGTCAACTAGAATTAAACGAGATTAGAAGCACCATTGGATTATTTTTTAATGGTTTAAACCATCTAATCAGTTTGTTTGTTTGCTTGCAATAGAGCAAAGCCGCATTGGGCTATCTGCTGTGTGCAGCGCAGGGAATCGAAACCCGAACTTTAGCGTTGTAAGTCCGTAAACTTACTTCTGCATCACCGAGGGACACCATCCAATGAGAGGGTTTAACTAATACATTTTCCACTAAAACATTTCTTATCCTTTATATAATCGTACCACGATGTATATTTTAGATGTTAACGTACTTTATATATTTAGTAAAAATGTATAACTCATCCACGATTCCAGAATGAAGCACATATATCTACCATTTACACGTTTGAAATAATTCTTGGCGTTTAACAACACATGAACATTAGAAACAGATATAGGATTTATTCCAAATTAACCAAACTGGCAAAAAAAAGAGATTCCCATGTTAAACAAAAAGGAATCCTCAATTGTCGCAGCACTTGAAATTCTTTTAGTCAAGATTAGAGTAAATTAATCCGTGAGACCTTTTTTTCCTCCTTTTAATTAGCTATATTTTTGTGCGCCAGCAATACCAAGCGTGGGGCGCGCGTATACCCGATTCGATTTTATTACTCCTCAGGATCTCTAACAACCTACCTTGAAATTTAAATTATTTTAGGCAGGATTAGAGTAAATTAATGAATTGATCTATGAGGCCTTGGCGTGGTCAAATACGTCAATCGAAAGGGTTTGGCCTCCTGAGTCCAAAGCTGTAATTAGATCTCAAATCGGTCAAGAGATGACGGAGCTATGAACTAAAAGTTTGTACTTGAAAAAAAACAAGAAACAAAACTCAGAGCCATTCTATGAGCCATTATGCCGCGGCTAAAAAAAACGAACTTTGATTGTAAGAAAAGCTTTTCTCTCTAAAAAAAGTTGCCAAAATTTTTGTTTTATTGTGGTATGAATATTCAGTGTAGTATATATTTTCAAAATACTTTATTGTCTAGATTACAAGTCTTTAGTAAACTAAAAAAGGAAATAAGTTTGTTGATATTAGGCAAAAATTAATGAGGCTCAACGGATTTTTCACAATTTTCATGTAGTGTATTCCTTTGAGGACGGTATTATGCAGAACAAAGGATTTTTCGCAATTCCCTATACGAGCAACATACAGCATTTTTGAATCACGATGGTCGAATTTTGTTTTCCAAAAAAATTCTTCAGCTTGGGATACTGAAATATCTGGTAGGTTTGTTGTTTAAGCGCGTTTAAAATGCTGAAGAAATCATTGAATTTTTCTTTATGATAAGTTAACTACAAAATGCTTTGCCGAAAGCAAGCAAAATTTCTTTGAAAGTAAAATCTAGATATCCTACAGAATCAATAGATCGATAATATCAAAACATGAACGTCAATCTAATTATAGTAGACCTTAGTTGGAGAACAAATGAGTTTGTTGTTAAACGTAAAGTTACACAATGGGCTATCTGTGGTCTGCCTACCGTAGGTATCGAAACCCGAGTTTAGGGTTATAAGCCCTCAGGTTTATCGCTGAACAATCGGGGGGCATACAAATGAGACTTAAAAATGATAATAAATTGACATATTTCTGTGTCTACACACTAGCAAGAAGTTGCTAGTGTCATAAGGAACCCAGAGATAGATGTAGCCACCACTAGTGAAATACAAACTCTCTAAAAGAGTTAACTTATTACTACTAAAAACTCAATTTAATCAAAGTACTTAAACTATCCAGGTATCACATTCTTCTCATTTGACAAAACCAAAGTTGTAACCTTTTTTCTTTTCTTTTTAAAGTTTCGAGCCAATTATACTGTGATATCATAACATTAGTTTCGAGTTACCGTCCAAGAAAGTGAAACAAGAACTCTTGAAAACAAAATTGAAATTATAATGCTATAGCATTAAGTGCAACAGCTAATATTAAATATAAGACACTTTGAAGTTTTTTATTTACTCTGTTACAAAGCAGTGGTTCTGATTCTTCCATATCTCATATGCTCTTTATTCAAATTAGAGCTAAGACTTGACATTTCTGCGCATTTTTGTATAAATAATTTATTTATATAATACTTTCACACGATTCTTTACTCGTATTAGTTTATATATATTTACGATTGAC